TATAATGGTATAGAACATAGAACATAGAACAGTACAGGCCCTTCGGTTCATGATGTTGTGCCGACCTATTATCCTGTATGAAAACGGGTTTAGGACTGATTGAACTCATGGATCTGTATAATAATAATGAGTAATGAGATAGAATGGCCTCATAGTAAGGGATCATTTGGGAAAAAGTGACTACAACATCATAGAAATTTCATATTTAGTTTGAGGGTGAAAAAATTGGATCTGAAACTGTCACCTTGAACCTATGCTCCTGAGACTTTAGCTTGGGGTTCTGGATTACTGTCCAGTGACATTATTACTGTGTCACTACCTCCCTAAATTTAGTTAAAAGGCAAAATGGTAGAAAAACAATGGCAGACATTTAAGGAGCTATTTCATAAGTCTCAGAGAAATATAGGTAAAGAAAAATTTATACCCATTGAAAAAGGTTGCATGGCTAACTAAGGAAATTAAGCTTAGGTTTCAAATCAAAAGAAAAAATGCATAATACTGCAAAGATTAGTGACTGGCCATAAGAACAGAAATATTTTAGAAACCAGTAAAACTAAAATTTTGCTCAGCAAGCCTGCGCAGGCCAGCTAGTCAAGAAAAGAGGTCCTGCAGATGCACTCTCTTCGAAGTTCCAAAAAAAATCTGCTAAGTTGCAATATAAAAGTTTCTGCACAAGAACACAGCTCATGGTACATTAGAGACAGTAGGAACTGCAGATGCTAGAGATTCTGAGATAACAAGGTGTGGAGCTGGATGAACACAGCAGGCCAAGCAACATCAGAGGAGCAGGAAAGCTGACGTTTCGGGTCTCCTAAACCCATCTTCAGAAAATGCTACATTGGAGAATGGTACATTAGCACAGGTTGAGCCTGAAACAGAAAGTTCAGATAAATGGATCACTTCCAGGCTAGAAAACTGTAACAAGTGGAGTGTTCCAGGGATGAGCTAGAGACATAACTATTTGTGATCAAAATTCATGACTTAGATGAAAGAACCAACTGTACTGCCAAATTTACTGATAATTAATTTTTTGGTTAGAAAAAAAATGTTGTGAGGAGTAAACAATGAATCTGTAGAATTAAAATATGGAGTAGAATGTGGGAAATTGTGAAGTTGTCCACTTTGGCAAGAAGAATAGCAGATTATTATTTCAAAAGAGTGGGTCTGCAGAATGTGACAGTACAGAGAGATCTCCACATATGTTAGGCAAATTAATGCTAGCTTTTATTGCAAAAGAAACAGAGTATAAAAGGAAGGAAGTCTTGTTACAACTGTATAGAGCATTGATGAGACTATATTGGGATACTGTGTATAGTTTTGGCCTCCTTACTTATGAAGAGATATACTTGAAATTAAGTGAGTTCAGGGAAGATTCACGAGGATGATTCCTGGAGTGATGATGTTGTCTCATGAGAAAATGTTGCCCATTTGGGATCTATACACATTGAATTGAGAAAAATGAGAGATCATCTTACTGAAACATCTTAATATTCTTATGGGAAGGTGGAGTTGACAGAGGAGGCCATAGAGGTACCTGGGACTGGGGCCATAATTTTAAAATTAGCCATCTCCCACTTAAGGTCTAAATGAGGAAGAATTTCATCACTTCGTGTGATAGTAATCCTTGACCTTCTCTTCCACAGAGAGCAGTGGACGCTGGCTCATTGAGGGTTGAGTTGGGCAGATTTTTGCTTGACAAGGATAGTCAAAGTTACAGGCAGCATGTCGGAAAGAGAAATTACAGCCACGATCCAATCCTGTTACTATTTTTCTTAATCCTGTGAATCAGAGTTACAGATAAACATCAACATAGAGGAAATATTTCCATGTAATCATATTATTGCAGGGATATCTTTATAAATTTATTTTCTCAATGCAATGCTATGCCTGTAGGTAGCATATAATAGAAATTTGATGCATGCCAGAATTGCGCATTTGCACTCCTGGCAGGCAACTTCTGAGCCTGGAGCATGAAATTTTTCAATTACTCCTTACACGTCTCAGAAACTTAAAAGGGCAACCTAACCTTAAAAAATAATTTAGCAAACTTCTGTTTTGCTTATGAGGAGTTGCAAAGCTGTCTAGCTTTGTTTTGTTTCGTGGCATTTAAAAACCAATGGGGCAGTCCTATGATTCCTACTATTTCATGTTGTCCTGAGCTGTCTTTTATGATGTAATAGATCTTATGAATTAGTCCCTTGATGTAGGTCTTCAATCAGCTGGCGCAAGTAGCATAAATTCAAGCATCAGCTTCAGTACGTCCAACCTGATTCGCCCACGTACAAGTTGCTACTTCAGTCACATGATACTCTGGGAGAAATAATGGGCTTGAACATTTTTCAATTTAAAAGGCATCAAGGGCTATGAGAAAGCAAGAATTTGGCATTGTAATAGGGGATCAGTCACGATCATGTTGAATGGCAGGGTAGGTTTGAAGGGCTGAATGGTCTATTCCAGTTCCTAGTTTTTTTATGATAACCCATGAATTATTTCCAGACACTTTCTCATGAGGGTCTACTGATAGGGAAGACATAATAGAATAGGTCCACTTTTTCTACCTCGCAACTGAATGCAGACAGATGATTTTGGACAAAGAAAGTGCATTAACCAATTGATGGCTGTAATTGGCAAAAACAAAAAGAATTAAAGGTTTTCATATTGGTTTTTAAAAAGGATAAAAGTTAATTGTACAATATCGGAAAGGCATTTGCAACCACAAGCATCACTCACACTGTCTCAACACACAAGGAAGGGTGATTACAAATGAGAAAGCATGCAGTCAAGTCTCACAGTTGCAAAAAGTTCACCATTATCCTTGCTTCCTTCAAGGTGAAGGCTTACAATATTGCAAACCTGTGATTCCGTTTTGGTCTGAAGAAGTAGAAGTTGAAGGTTTATGAAAATGGAATCACAGTGTCTGACTGCTTGCAATAGCAGGTTTCTGAGCCTTTATTTGATTTGGGATGCAGTTAAACACACACAATAAAAAACAGATTTTGTTCTTCAAATAGATAGGCAGAAGCATCCATGGAACTTGCCTGGTAAATAGAATCTGAATGTGATCGTATTCCTATTAACCACATTGATTTGGAATACTTATTCTGTTTTTAAGATTTCTACATTAAGATTTTCCTTTGGTTGGCAAAAACATGCAAAAGGTCAATAAGAACTGAAAGAACTGCAGATGCTGTAAATCAGGAACAAAAACAGAAGTTGCTGGAAAAGCTCAGCAGGTCTGGCAGGATCTGTGAAGAAAAAATCAGAGTTAACGCTTCGGGTCTGGTGACCCTTCCTCAGAACAATGTTCAAAGATCAATAAGAACTGTTTCAAATATAAAAGTGTCAATTTTAGGTCTGTTTAGCCAACAGGCATCATGCTGATCGGAGGGGTTATGTGATCAAAATAGCTGTGACCCATTCCTAATGCTTTCCCATGTTCCACTAATTTAACAAAATCCCTGAACAAACACATGACTGTTGTCTGTCCTGGGCAGGAGGAGCTTACTTCAGATTTAATATGCTAATTAACCAAAAACGTCTGGAAACTCGGATGGAGTCAAACCCAGAAACAGAGAGGAGAAGCAAGAAGGGGGTTAAGATAGTTGTTTTATGGTATATTTCTTACAGATTCGCTGCACAATCCTTGAGTTTTCGATGCCCCAAGTTTCTTTCTCATCTCCTGCAACTGTGGCCAGTCCAGCCCACTTCATTCACAACCTTGTTTTGAATCATTTCCTTCAGTCCTTCATGATGTCTGGTGTCCAGCATGACTGTCAACTGTCAACCACTGATCAGGGCATTGTTTTAAATCAGGAAACAAATCTGAATGTTGCACATGAGAGCTTGGGGTTAAAATAGCCTCGACCTGACTTTGAGGACTCATCAGGACTTTCCTTCCTTCATCACAGCCTGTCCACCCCAAACACATCTTAATTCCAAATTCATTGAGTACATTTAAGACTGAGATAGACAGGTTCTTGATTATCAAGGGGATCAAGGGTTACGGTCAGAAAGCAGGAGAATGGGGTTGAGGAACTTATCAGCCATGATTGAATGGTGGAGCAGTCTTGATGGGCTGAATGGCCTAATTTCTGCTCCTATGTCTTATGATCTTATGGTCTTTAGGTTATGGCCAAAATGACAATCCCTGATTATCATGCATTGATGAAAGATTTCAAATGTCATTCAGTATTCCCTGATATTATCAGAATGTATCTAGGGGATCCAAATTTGATAAAATGAATCATTTCTAAAGTTTCATTAAAAGTTCGTGAATTGGTAATAACTTTAAAATAGTCAATTTAAAAGGCAGCCACTTTGAGGTCAATCCAGTTTCTACTCATCAGTTAGTTAGTTAGTTAGCTCTATTTTAATAATTACTGAAAATATTTAGTGGAAAGAAATGGGAGGTGAGGTAAATCATGTATCAGTACATCAAGAGTGAACAGGCATAAGTCTGTTACTTTTATTGGAATAAAGAATAGTTCAATGCAAAATAAAGTTGTTAATTCTAATGGGTGGTCCCAATTGTTGTAAGCAAGATGCCTGAAACATTTTGTCTATCAGATGCTTGTCAATCTGCTATGCACCTCCAGCAATTTATTGGAAAGCTGTGATTATTTTTTGCTTCATTAGTTCACATTTCTAGAATATTCTTTTAAAGTAAGTATGGACCATGATTACAACCCACTGTGAAGATATCATTCCAACTGATTGTCTTGCTGCTGGTAATCTATTTCTGTGGATTGTTACAAAGTTGTTTTATAATATGACACTGGTGGCTTTCTAAACATCTTTGAAATTACCAGGCGTTGCAAATTGTGCAACTTCTATACATGTCAGAGATTCTGGTAGAAACTCGTGCTTTAGTTTTTCAAGATGTAAAGGAGGTCTTCAGGCCATAATTAGTGCTATGAAAGAGATTAATTGAAAGTGAGGAAAAGCCATGGAAACACAGCATTGTCATGACAACAACCGATGCTGGCTAGATAAGCCCGAGGTGAGACTCAGAGCAGTAGAGCAGAGAGATCCTCCTTCAGTGAAGACAGCTGTCAGCTTTGTGCTGGTGAGTGATTCTATGTTGGGTGTGTGTGTGTGTGTGTGTGTGTGTGTGTGTGTGTGTTCTTCATTATAGTTATATTCCCAGCTAAACTTTAAATAGCATTAATACAGTTAGTACAGGAAAGGTAAAACCTAACTATTCATAAAGCTAATCTTTTTAAAAATAGGGTTAAGTGTAACACACTAATGATGAAGACTTCATTTATAGTGTGAACTCTATTCAAAGTTGCAGAAGTTTTCTGGTTGTCTGGTTTACCCAGTTTAAGAGGACAACCAGATCATATAGCTTGCTAAGAATTACAAAGTGCGTAGTTCACTCAGAATGCATTTGTAAGGCAATGCAAACTTTGCAGGGGCATCAGGATTTGTTTTCAAAGTGCTCGTATTTTGCCGTGTACAACACTTGAATGGAAATTTGTGCTTGATTCTAACCAAGGAAGGATGATTTAAGTTGGTCTCTTAGCTTTTCTCTTTCATGTATGAAAGATGTTGCCTCAATTCATTACTGGTGACAATTCTTCATTAACAAGCAACAATTCCACGTTCATTTTTCAGCTACATTTGAGCAGTGCTGTGGAATTAGATTTCAGTGCACAGAGTAATACATGTCAGCAGCAAAAAAATCTCTATTTAAGTATTATTTCAGTTACACTGATTCCACATTTCATGTAGTTGATAATCTTGGTATTCTGGATTTGGATAAAACTGGTGCAAAAGTACAAAAGCCACTGAATGGGACATGAAAGTGTCTTTTGCCAGGTTACAAGGAATTTGAACAAAGCTTGTTTTCAATATAACGCAAATATTTTATTTGTTTAAGGATACTAATTAAATATGCACATTTGTAAGTTTGTCATTTCATTACATTGTACATTGTTTTGTAACAAAATCGAGTCTGGAACTGAAAAGTAATCAACTTTTTAAAAAATAAAATTTTGAGATGTGAGTGACGTAGGCAAATTTTTTTCATTTGTTAATTATCCCTGGTTGCCTAGAGAATGTGTTACTTTAGCAAATCAGTGAATTCTATTTACAATGAGCATTTATTATCTTAAATTTGGAGCAGAGAATACTGAGGGGGTACTTGGATAAAGCCTGATATTAACATGGGGAACTCTGTTGAGTTATTAATCAGTGTCCATTCTTTGTAAAGCAGGCAGCTTGTGATTTTTGTCCTGCCTGCTTATTTCAGTGATAGAAACAGTTGTTGATTGTTTTGTGTGCTGCTGAGTGCCTGGACACTTCAGCAGAGGACTCAAGTTTATGTGAAACCAGCACCAATTCCTCAGACGACATGTCCATCCTGGGCCTCCTGCAGTGCCACAACGATGCCACCCGAAGGTTGCAGGAACAGCAACTCATATTCCGCTTGGGAACCCTGCAGCCCAATGGTATCAATGTGGATTTCACAAGTTTCAAAATCTCCCCTCCCCCCACCGCATCCCAAAACCAGTCCAACTCGTCCCTGCCTCCCTAACCTGTTCTTCCTCCCACCTATCCCCTCCTCCCACCTCAAGCCGCACCTCCATCTCCTACCGACCAACCTCATCCCGCCCCTTGACCTGTCCGTCCTCCCTGAACTGACCTATCCCCTTCCTAACTCCCTACCTACACTCACCTTTCCTGGCCCCATCCCCGCCTCTTCGACCTGTTTGTTTCCTCTCCACCTATCCTCTCCTCTATCCCTCTTCTATCCGCCTCCCACTCTCTCCCTATTTATTTCAAAACCCCCTTCCCCTCCCCCTTTTCTGATGAAGGGTCTAGGCCCGAAACGTCAGCCTCTCTGCTCCTATGATGCTGCTTGGCCTGCTGTGTTCATCCAGCCCTGCACCTTGTTGTCTCCAATAACTGTTGGCCTGGGCTACTTCAAAGGAAGATGCATTCTAGTTCCAGCTGGTGATGGAAATGTTTGTGGAGGAGCCTTTGAATTGAGTGAAGTCTGAGGATAGAGAAACAGCTGGGCAGAGAGCAGACTCTAATATTCTCTGATGCAGCAATGGGAGCCTTTGTGTGAGTGATGAACAGGAAGAGAGAGGTCTTTTTTCCCATGGGGGACCAGGCCTTCTGCATAGATACAGAGAAGACAGATGGAACAGAAGCCATTTCTGTCAATGCCATCAAGGGTAGTCTCAAGGACCTGGATGCAGTGCAGGAAGAAGTTTAATTAACTCTCACAAGTGGTCAAAGTCACTAATTGTACCTTCAAATGCTGCACCCTTGCAAATGAACCATTAGTTTCACACCGTTAATACCATTTCCATTTCACTCACCTCACTTTTAGACACAGCACTATTTGCACACCTCATGTTATGTGCTCATAGAGTACAATGTGGACCTATTTCTTTACTTGACAGCTTAAAGATTTTCATAATGGAATTGGATCATATGCTTCTGATATTTTAAGAGCCTCCCAAAACTTTCCCTCCTGTTGTAAGGATTGAAAAGGAGTAGAGAAGGGAACAAAATTTGAATGTTATGGGCTCACTAACTCTTGTTGGAGTGAGATATCTGTTCATGCACAGTGGTGCTAATTAACGTTCAAATCTCCTTCAGACCAACTTTCCTTTCAAACTGTTGCTCATGTTCAATGTGTGACTCTCTGCATTATGAAAAATTCCTCATTCCCAAGTCTACGTTTGCCTTTTGTTTGTGTCTTACATGCAGCCCAGTATCATACAGCTGTTCCCATTCTACAAACTTGTCAATGTTCACCGATATTAGCTACATCATACATAGTTCTTCTAAATTATTGTTGTATTTCCAATCTCCCTTTTCCAAATTCTTTGAATGCATTGTCACCAGCAAACTCCATCCAATGTTTCAGTTGCCCCAAACAGAATTCCTCCAAACAGAATCCTACCCGGAAACAGTACTGAATTATCACCAATGAAATCCTATACGGCCTGTGGTAAACTATCCCTCCTTTCCCTTCATGACTTGTCTGAGGCTTTGTGTGGTTGAGCACACTTTTTCTCTCGTACCTTTCCAACATTGCTCATTTGCGTGGGACTGTGCTTGCCTAGTTGCATTCTTATCAATCCCATCTTAAACAGAAAATTGTTTGTAAAGTCTTCTCTTTGCTCTCCCACACCATTACCTCTGGTATTCCTTGACCCACTGCTATTCCTCATCTACATGCAACACTCAGTGAGGTCATGCATGAATGCAATGTTAATTTTCAGATGTATGCTGACAATATTCAGTCTTAACGCCTGTCTCTAAGTTGTCAGCCTACATGTTTGACATCCAGTACTGGATGTGCATAAATTTCTTCAATTAAATATTGAGAAGCAGAAAACTAATGTCTTCACACCACAATATTCCCGAGGCTCTGACTCCAATCTTCCTTCCTAGCAACTGTCTGAGCCTGAGTCTCTAATCTCATTTCCATGTCATCATTTAAACACCTAGCTCTACCTCTGTAACATTTGTCACAATTCTTGTACGAATCAATAACTTTAAAAGACATGAATTTTCCATTTGCCTATGCAAACTATTGTACAACAACATTTCATGCATCCAGATTTCTACTCCAAGAAATAATCTAAAATTAACATAAACTGCACATTATTTAGCGGGCAACTCGTACAGTAAACTACAGAAAATGCATTCATTCATGACTTTTTAGCAGAGCTGAAAACCCCACACTATGTTTTTAAATTAGATCAGCAGAACTGTAGGCTAAAGTTTAAAAAATCCTAAGCTCTTTGGCAGATATTATCTGGATCTTGTCCACATCTTGTTGGATGTGATGAAGGACTGTTTCATTATCAATGCAAATATGAATGGAGATGAACAGCAAATAAGTTCACCTCTGATCCTTAAATTATCTAATGGTCATTAAACAATGCAACTGGAAATATATTGAGTTTGGGGTGCTGCCCTGATAAGCTATTAGAACTGGAGAAGCCACTGGAGAGGCCACTGGAGAGTTTTATCCTGGATTCTCTTTGACTTCAACTTTAAAAGGGATCCTTAGTACCAGTCTTGGTCGTATACAGTCTCAATGCCAAGGGATGTCACTCGCACATTACCACTGGAATTCAGCTTTTCATACTGAGACCAAGTCTGGAGCCTGTGAACTTTATGGAACCAAACCATTGCTGAACAGGATATTGTGAGTAAGTGCTGCTTTTGAGAACATATGATGACTCTTACAATCCTTTTGATCATTGTTAAGTGGGCAGATTGGATCTGTCCTACGTTTGGTAGGTAGAACATTTTTGGGCAATTTCCCAGGTTGTTGGCTTGATGCTAGTTTTGCAGCGGCACTGGGATAGCTTGACATTGTTCGTACTTGAGCACAATTCTTTAACAATGAAGTTGTAATTTGTGGAGCCCGTAACCTTCAGTGTGTAGAATGTGCTCAGCTGTTTCTTAGTGTGATGTAGAATCAAATTAGCTGAAGACGTGGATTTGTTATGATGGTCACATTTTCAGTCTCAAGTGTTCAAAAAGTCAAATCCATTTGTGCGGTTTTGAATATACTTAATAAGACCTGATTACTTGCAAGCAGTAAATTAGTTGCTGATTTAACACATTGTTCATTTTTATCCAAAGGCAAGTAATGAAACTAATCAGTGGCAGTCACATAGAAAAACTTTTATTTAAATGTATAATGTTCACAGTGCAAGCATGGTTATGCCATTGTTTGTGTTAATTGTTTTAATGCTACCCCATTGCATCTTACATTTAAAAATTAAATTGAATAAAACATAAATATTTTAAAAAGTAAATAGATTTTCATACTCCTTTAAAAACTAGGTTGGCTATAAAACTTACATTTCTGCCGTCTGCATATTGTATTGTTTTGTTGCAGATCTGCTAAAAAGAAACGTTCTCTATCACCATGACAACAGAGTGTGTGTGGTCACCTGAAACACCAGACGACAGACTGGACAACAGCGATCAGCTCTGCAAGCACTTAGGTAATTAATCTGGTGTGATGTCCACAGAGACAGTTCATTACACCAATGGAAAAAGATTTCATCTGCGAGGCTGAAAGAGTGCAAGATGTTCCTTTGAAACATGAGTGGAGTTTGCTTCAGGGCACGAGATTGGCCAACTCAGCCAGATGGAGGCACAGATGGAAGGTGCATCTCTTCAAACTGCTTGAAATACAAATGGGAATCACTGTCCTTAAAAGAGTCATGTACTACAAGTAGTTTGATTTGGCACAAAAAATATGGATTACTTAGTTTAGATGAGATAACAGGTATTGCATTAAATAGGTGGTATACAAAAAGGAAATCAGCAAAAGGTTACCAGTGTATTTGCTTCTATCATTACTCCATAAATGTGTACATTCCAATAGGCACATCTACGTTAGAGGAGTGCAACTGATGACAAGTGTAAAGTATTCTGGATGTTCATATCTCACCCCAAACTACAATATAACATCTGCATAGATCCAATTGCATAGGAATCTCTGACTTTCAATCATAGAATCCCTACACTGTGGAAACAGGCCCTTCAGCCCAACAAATCCACACTAACCCTCAGAGCATCCCACCCAGACCCATCCCACATAATCTGCATATCCCTGAACACTATGGGCAATTTAGCATGGCTAATCCACCTAGCCTGCAAATCTTTGGACTGTGGGGGGAAACAGGAACATCTGGAGGAAACCCACACAGACACAGGGAGAATGTGCAAACTCCACACAGTCACCTGAGGGTGGAATAGAACCCAGGTCCCTGGCCCTGTGAGGCAGCAGTGCTAACCATTGAGCCACCGTGCACAGAATGCACTTTCTGTGCATTCCATTAGCTTCTGCCTATTTAAACAATAATCACATTCTATTATTTTTAGTCATCAATCACAAAATTGACTTCTAAAAGAAATTAATTTGGAATCAAACTGGAAAGAATATAAATTGAAGAGCACTGTAACGTGGCCCAAGACTCTAACATAAACTTTAAAATTGGCAATAGTTAAATGTGCACAGAAAACAGGTATGGGCAGAGGAGATGTTGTTTGATGGAACATTGCCAATTCACACAGTTGATTCAACTTGTTTATTTTGGCTGTCAACACAAGGATAAAAAGTTGCACAGCCAGAATACTGACTGGACTGTTCTCGCTCATATACTAAATGGTCTGTTGCAAATTTCTTCAGTTCTGTTTTTATTCCAGCTTTGCACGATGTGTTCAATGCACACAAAATATCCGTACAAGAATTTAAAGTGTTTAAGATTGTAGTTAGAAGTCTTACATCCTGTGAGAGTTAAAGCTTTTTAAAGAAGCTACTACTTAACTACATGATGGTTTCATGAATAAGCCAGCGTCAAATGGTATAAATTTGTTGACTACAATTTACTTACAATAGCATCCATATTGATGAATTTAAGGTGATGAGTCCACTATCTGTCTGTAAAAGGGATACTCAAATGTAATATGCATTATTGTTTGTTTGTGTCTCTCCATAAGCATGTGTGTGGCTTGTCCTGAGGCCCATTAGTGGAGCACAAGAGCCTGACATGCCCTGAACCTGGTCTGCAAGGACCACTCTCATTGTTATAGTTCAAATTCTGCCATCTAACAGATTTGGGCTTGTCACAACAAACTTATTAATAGCTCCCATTCTTTGATCCAAACGATGATGTTTGCAGGAAGGCCTTGGTCAGGAAGATCGCTCCATATGGGGCATGGAGATGGCTGATGAGTAGTTTGTGATTTGAATAAGTCAACAAGGAATGGTAAGTGAGGTGTAGCAAAAAGAGTTTTAATCAACTTGTGGATTTTCAACAGTTGAGTGTATTCAGAGGCCCTCATGCAACATGCACCCCACCTGAGTGTGGCATGACATGGGCTTATGCTTCTGACTCCTGCTAAGTTAATATGGCTATCAGGGACCTTTCTATGTAAGAATTAAAGAAAAGTATTATTGGATAGGATTTCCTAGTCTAAGAGACAAAAGCAGCACGAGTAGAGGCCTTAGGGGGAAGGCAATGATTGGTGAATGGCCAAGGAAATGTTAGAAAGAGAGAAAATAATTTTAAACATTGAAGGGGAATAAGTTCAGATGGCAACATGAGAAATCTAGTCGTTTGACAATCAGCACATTAGGCATTTGTACAGGGAGCTGAGATTAATGTCATCCTGCTTACAAGACTGAAACTTGGCACCTTGTAGTTCATAATTGTAGTCGAGTCAATCCCAGGAGTTACAAATTTGGCAGAAGCTGTCAAATGCTGCAGAAAGTCAGGTTCTGTTGGGAATCACAGAGTGATGTTGAACATGTCCACAGAGAATGACAGCCAAAGAATCATAGTAAAACGTGCAGTTAGCAAGAGCAGAGGATCAAAATGGAAAAATAGAACTGAAAATAAAGTAACACCAAACATACATTAACTACACTACAATGAAAACAGTGACAGTGGTGATGGAAGTTACGCGGTTGAAGTTGTCTGGATGGAGTTTCAATAGCATGGACACCCAAGGGCTGCAGTGGTTCAAGAAAGCAGATCCCTGCCACCTTCTCAAGGGCATTTATAGATAAGTGAATAAACACGGTCTAGCCAGCACTGCCTGTATCCCATGAATTAATAAAAGACAAAATTAGACTTGGTAGTGAAATATTGTGTTTAAAGAGACCATGGCAGTTTGAAGACAATATGGATGAAGCGATAAAAATCAGGCGTTATTGTCCAACATTGTTTCTCATATGGAAGGAACTAGGTATTTTCCAGGAATGAAATTAAAAGTTATGGTCTCAACAATCATGACCATTACATAGTTTGTATTGGTTGTCTCCTTTGCATATTCAATAAGAAAATCTATTCAGATGTTACCTTAGAAGTCTCACCTGGTTTTGTTATTTCTAAATCATATTTCTTTTGTGACACTATAAGACAATGGTTCAGAGCTGTCACATTTGCACTCTAAGCTGTAAGTATACAAGGACATGGTCTGTGATGTTCAAGGGTGGCATTTTTTGGGAAATGGTCTATTATGGTGGATTAATGCCAGAATGCAACTCCCCCAGCGTAGAGTGAAAAATTTGGTTCTGCAATATATATCTGGATAACCTTGCTTATTCAGAGCACCTTATCAAGGCTCCATGGCACACTGCATCAGGGCAAAACATGAAGATTCACTGCGATTGATATGAAGGATCAGGGGAACTACTAGTGAGATACTGTTCCCTATCTGACATTCTCCACGGATTATCAGCTCATAGATCTCTTATGAATGTCACTGCTGCTGGATTTCTTGTAGCTTTGCTGCACAGGTGAAGACAGCATTGAAGGAGAGAGCAATTATGGCATTATCAGTCAGAACAGCAACCTCCAGCAGCTTCTGAACTGTCTCCTCAGGGAGAGGCAGCTGGTGAAGATCTCCCAAGAAGGTAGAAGAGAATAACTAAACTCTGCAAGCACAGACCTCATTGTCATTTTCTACAACTCTTAAAACACAGTGTGGGAGCAGGCTAAGGATTATCACCAAAGCATGTCATCTACTGGAGCAGGACTTGGGTAGCAATCCCATCCCAGGGACTGTCAAGGTGATAGTTGCCTGGAATCATTATGTCAGTGGCTCATTTTAGGAAGTGACTGGGGACCTGTGTGCCATCCTCAAACCTTAATTCACAAGGTGATGCTGGAATGTCACTGATGTCATTTTCTCACATCCTGTTCATTTGTTAGTTATTCATATCCTCCCCTCACCTCCCTGCCGGCGAGGACAGTCAAGCATCTCGGGCAGTTGGATTCTCCATCATCATTGGCTCCTATCAACTGCATCAAGATCAAGACATTTACCAAGAGGGACACCCATACACCATAATAGAGCGATGCACTGTTGAGTGCAGGAAGGCAGAAAGAATCTAATTGAAACCTGCTTCCAGCTTTAGTGAGAGAGTTGTTTCAGGGCATTTCTGAAGAAGGGTCCAGACCCAAAACGTCAGCTTTCCTGCTCCTCTGATGCTGCTTGGCCTGCTGTGTTCATCCAACTCTACACTTTGTTATTCCAGCTTTAGTGAGCCAGTTTTGTACTTCTTTTCATCATGTAACTTTCTGTGCACGCAGCCCAGGCCAGTGCTAAATACTCATGGATCTGCTTATTTTTGCAGTCCTTGAACTTTTCTGTTGCCGAATAGATGTTTTTGTATTCACATGATTGTCTGCTTGGTATCTTCAGGTGATGCCATTTTCATGCATCTACACCTTGAAGCTTTACCTTAGGGAAACAAAAAACAACAATCATTGAGACAGTGCACCAAAATTGCAAGGCATTAAGGTTCAGATGTTAAGATTTCAGTCAGCACCTCATATCCAAGTGTTGTGCCATGAAGTATTCCCTCATATGAAGCAGGTGGTTGCAATCATGAGGCATTTCCTTTTCACCCCTTCATCATCAGTTAGTCTTTAACATTTCAGAGTTTATATAGATTGGTGAATTGTCCTGCAATGCTGAGCGTCCTATAGGACAGGATTGAACCTTTGAGAGACAGTGCTTTGTGCAACTTCTCTTGCAGGCCAACATACTGAGGGAGAGTCGACATGGAGGCTGCCTATTGTACACCTGCCAGCACTGAATGGTACTGTGCTTCCTTGAAATGCTAATAAATAGAATGAAGCTTTGCCTCTAGAGATGTGTGGAATCAGCTTTAGTTCTGTGCTATCACTCTTAAGGTGGGTGCAAGTATGCACATGTGTACAGGTCATGACCTAGCACAATGCTTGTACATTGCTTTTAACCTCAGTGTTGTCCACATTGAAGTGCAAAGCATTGGATGCTTCATCAATGTTGCGGTTTGAAGGGCCCTGATATCTAATTCTATCTGCAGCTAAAGGGTCAATTACTTTTGAGAAATGAGCAATGTCAGGCCATTTCCAACTTCTTTTATCCACAGGACATCTGAAGAGGTTATTCATCTCGCAAACTGATGTCATTTTGTCAGATCCAACTCCAGCAGATATCT